TATTATATCATTATTTTTAATATCTTAAACAATCATCAATATTCATATTGGAGATTACAAAAATTAAAAAAAATAATAAAAGTTTCTAAAAAAAAATTAAAATAAAAATAATTTAATTATTTTTTTTTTTCATTTTTTTTTTTCAATTTTTGATTTGATCATTTTAAAATGGGGTTCTTATAAAAACAAGAGGCAATTTAAATAATAAAAATAAAAAATAATTTGTGAATAAGGGTAAAGCTATATTAATGAGCAAGGGTGATTGATTTAAGAGAAATAAAATAAAAATAATATCAGACACAATGTGATTAAAAAGTTCCACGCAAGTAAAACTATTTTTGATTTTATAATAAAATATTTATCATAATTTTATCATATTTTGGTTTTATTATTTTCTATAGATTAAATAAAAAAAATAAAAAAAATAAAAAAAAAAATAATAATAAATATTTTTTTGTTTATAATATTGTAAATTGGTGGTGATCAATTAAATTATTAATTTTGAGTAAATAATTTAACTAAATCTTTCTTATTAACCTTTAACATTGCATTCTTTGGAATTTCTTCTTTAACTTGAATCACTTTTGGTACTTTATAATATGCTAACCTTTGTTGGCACCACATTTTGAAATCGTCATAGCTCATTGGCTCGGCTCCCTATAAAATGACAATAATAAGATTGTAATTAGTATTTTTTTATTTATTTTTTTAAAAATATAAATGAAAAACATACTTTTTTATATACCAAAATTGCTCCAATAACCTGTCCATATTCTTCATTTGGAATACCAAGAACTGCACATTCCTCAATATCTGGGTGATCTAGGATTTCCCTTTCAATTTCCAATGCAGAGATTTTATAACCAGAGTTTTTGATAATATCAACACTTGATCTACCTAAAATTTTGAATCTACCAGTAGAGTTATCTTTTTCAACAATATCACCAGTCTTAAACCAACCATCTTCAAAGGCCTCTTGAGTAGCTTCTTTTTTTTCGAAATACTCTTTGAAAACTTGAGGCCCTTTAACAAGAAGTTCTCCTACTTCTTTAGTGTTGTCTTTAAAGACTGGTTTACCATTTTGAGTTGAACTAGCTTCTGCATTGATTTTAACTTGAACACCTGGTAATGGGAAACCAACACTACCACTTACTCTGTCACCATGCAATGGGTTTGATAAACACATACCAATCTCTGTCATGCCATATCTTTCCAAAAGGTTATGACCACTAATTTCCATAAAGTCGTTTTTAACAGTTTCAGGTAATGCGGATGAGCCGCTGACCATTAATCTTAAACGTTGAAAAGCTTTTTCAATGTCCTGTCTTTCCTTTTCAGTTTTTACATTCTCTTCGACATATTTTATTAATTTTGAATAAATTGTTGGTACCGCCATGAATAGTGAAATTGGTTGCTCCAAGTCGGTAGTGACACCGCTCTCCAATAATCTGTCAATGACTTGTTTGCTATCAAATTTTGGCATCATTTCGCACATAGCTCCACTCCACAACGAGCAGGTAAGAATATTAATTAAACCGTGAACGTGATGAAGAGGAAGAAATTCGAGGATATGGTCTTCTTTTTTCCATTCCCAAGCTTCAACCAATGCTTTTACTTGAGCTTCAATATTACTATGAGTAGCTATAACCCCTTTGGGTCTTGATGTGGTACCACTAGTATAGATTATTTGTGCATTTCTATTAATATCAAATGGCATTATTTTATGTTGAACTTCTTTATTGGGTGAGCCATTGCCAATCTCTGGAATTTCAATTACTTGAACACCAACTTTTCTCCCAATCTCTGCCAACATTGAATAATTTTCTTTATTAGTTAAAACCATTGACGATTTAGAATTTGTAATTGTATATTCCAATTCGTGTGGTGGATGTGAAATTGATAATGGTACAGCTACACCTCCACTTCTCCAAATACCCCATTGAGTTCTTACCTAAAATAAATTAAAATTATTAATATTAAATTATAAAATTTTAAAATAGCAACCATATAATAATAATAATACAAACATAATCAAAACTTTGTGGGTATAAAAATGAAACTCTGTCTTGTTCCAAATCATCCGTATAATACAAAAAAGATTTATTAATAAAAGTTCTTCATAAAAAAAAAGATTTTTTTTTTTTAAAATTTTAAAATTTTTTTTAATTTAATTTAAAAAATAATTACTTTTTAAAAGTGATTTGATTTGAAATTGCAGCTGATTCATTTAATAAATCATTATATGTAAATCTCTGTGTATTATTATGTGGATAATTTACAATTGCAATTCTATTTTTGTATTTTAGTGCATTTTGAAATAATTGTAGTGAAGGTAATCTGTGCATTTTATTTTATTTGTTTTTTAAAATTTTTGATTAATTATAATATACATATACAATACATAATCTGTAATTCTTTTTATTATTTATTTTTATATTATTGTTTTATTAATTTAATTTTTTTTTTTTTTTTATTGAAGTTATAAAAAAATAAATAATATTTAATTAATTAGACGTAGTATGTTATATGTGTTTGAAAATGAAAATGAAAAATAAAATTTTTTAATTTTTTTTTTTTTTATTTAATTTTTTTTTTTTTTTTTTAAATTTTTTTTTTTTTATTTTTTTTAATTTTTTTGATTTTTATTTATTTATATTTTTTTATAGTTTTTATTTGGTTATATTACAAACTTATTAATTTTTTATTTTATCGATTTTTCATATTAATATTTCACTTTATTTATAAAAATTGTATAATAAACAAATAAAAAAAAATAATTAAAATGTCCTCATTTGTAAGTTTATTAATTATTATAATAATATCAATATTATACATACAAGATCTATTTATTGTAGAAAATAATATCTTATATTAATTATTTATAAAAACAATAATAACCAAAAAATATATACTAATTATAATTTTAATATTTAAATTTTACAATAATAATAATAATAGTTATATACAGTTAGTTCATTTTTTATTTTAGATAATAAAGGTGAAAGAGTAATTTCCAAATATTATAATAACGATTTCGATAATCTTCAAAAACAGAGAGCATTCGAAAAGAAAGTTTTCGATAAAACAAGTAAAGTTAATTTTGGTGGTGAAATTACACTTTTGGACAACTATTTAATTGTATATAAAGCATTCTCAAATATTATTATTTATATGATTGGTGATTCAGATCAAAACGAAATTGCTTTATTATATGTTTTAAATTCATTTGTTGATACCTTACAAAACTTATTCGAGTAATTATCTAACATATTGCATACAACAGAGAAACACACAAACAAACAAACAAACTACTTTTATTAACCATTTATTTTTTACTATCCAATAGGAACAGCCAAATTAATAAAAAATTAATTTTAGATGGCATTAATTATACACTTTTAACATTGGACGAAATTATTGATGGTGGTGTTATTATGGAAAGCGATTCAACTGTTGTTGCAGATAGAGTAGGAATTAAATTACCAGAAAATGATGACTTGGAGGAATCAATTAATAAAACTGTTACTTCTGTTAAAGAACAATTCTTCTCATTCTTAAGATAAACTCATAATAATAATAACAACAACAATATCAATATCAATAACAATAGCAGTAATAACAACAATAAAATAAAGTAATAACCAAAAAACCAATTTATTATAATTATAATAAATTATAATAAATTTTTTAAAAAAAATATAAAAAATAAAAACTAAAAACTTTTTAACTCTAATAACTGAATAAAAACAAATAAAAACAAATAAAAAATATATTTTGAATTTGTAGTAAAACTCGAAAAAAGAAAAAAAAAAAATATACTATACATATAATTATTATTCTTTTTTTTGTTTTGTTTTTTATTTAGTTATTTTGGTTCAATTTTTTTTATAAAAACATATCTTTGGGGGTCCTGTGAGAATAATCTTTGATATTTTGATTTTGGGAATAAATTATTCCAAACTAATGAATCGATATTTTGTTGAATAAATAAATTGGAGCTAATAAAATGTTGTTGAATGTCCAAACCCAGTTCTTGTTGATCGGTTTGAATATATATTACTACATCGTCGGCTGTACTTTCATATAAATCTTTAACTAGTGCTTTGTTGATCAATCTTCTTTTGTGATGACTCTTTTTAAAACAAGGATCTGGGAAAAAGATACTAATTTCTTTAATGGAGTCCTTTGGTAATGATAAATTGATATTTTTTATATTTAAATTTATATTTGCAATTATATAATGTAAGTTATTATTATTATTATTATTATTAATATTATTATTATTATTATTATTATTAGTAGTAGTAGTAGTATTTATGGTATTATTTTCTTTGATAAATTGTTTATTTTTAGCAATATCGATATAGACATCCCTCATATCTATACCCAACATATTTTTATCTTTTTGTAATAAACTTCTTTCCAATAACATTTCACCTTGACCACATCCCAAGTCAATATGAAATGGTAGTTTTAAGTTGCTATATATCTGGTCCCATTTTGGTATTTTTATAATCTCTTTAACTGAAAATGGATTGATATGTGGTCTTAATTTCTTTGGTTTCTTGATAATTTGAGATTTATAATTTAAAATATTTAGGTTGTTTATTTGATTACTGTTATTCTTTATTTCATTCTTTAAAAAGTTTATATCAAATTCTGTGACAAAAGTTCTTCTTAATAGTGTATATTGTAATGGATTTCTAAAATTCTTTATTCTTGCTAAAGAATTCATTATTTTAATAGTTTATTAAATTTACGATTATTAAAAATTATAAAAAATAAAAAAAATGAAAAAATGAAAAAGTTTTTTTTTGTAAAAATTTTTTTTTTTTTTTTTTTTTTTTTTTTTATTATTTAAATAATTTATTTATCGTTTATTTATTATAAATATGGGAAAATTACTTCCAGTAAATGTAGCTGGTCATTTAAAAAAATCAATTCATTTTCCCAATGGTATTTTGGTCTTAAATAAACCAATAAATATCACCTCAAATGGTTTTTTATCAATTTTAAAAAGCCTTTCGGTCGAAAAAAAACTCAAATTAGGGCATGCCGGGACACTGGATTCAGAAGCGAAAGGAGTACTAATAGTTGGTGTTGGAAAAGGAACAAAACAATTAGCCTTACTCACTAATTTAATCAAAACTTATAAAACCACCATCATTTTTGGTAATAAAACAACAACTTCGAATGAAGCCGGTGATATAACAACCACATTTAAACCATATAGCCACATCAATAGAGAAATGATAGATATAACCATTAATAAACACTTTATGGGTGAAATTTCACAAAAAGCACCAGTATACAGCGCCATAAAAAAAGACGGGGTAAGATTATCGGATTTAACAAGAAGAGGATTTACAGTTGAACCACCAACTAGAATTGTCAAAATATATCATGCAAAATGTACATTTTTAAAACTTCCAATTGCCGAATTTGGTACGTAGTGCGTAAAAATAATTTAATAGTCATAATTCATATATCCCCTAACATTAATTAAAAAACAATAATAAAAAATGTAGAAGTTAGAGTATCAAGTGGATTTTATGTTAGATCTTTTGCAGAAGAATTTGCGGAAAAATTAGGCACACACGCCTATTGTATAGAAATCGATCGTATTGAAAATGGACCTTATAAACTGTCAGATGCAATCTCCTTTGACGAAATCACAAATGAAAATGTAAATAGAAATGTAGAACATTGTACAAATATTTTAAACAATACTGAAGTATTAGAGAAAACAATTGGTGAAAAAAGTAAAACCATTTCTCCAACAATAATAGCAACAAAAAACAACTAATAACAATATACTACCAGAGTGCGACAATATATATGTAAATATCCCAATAAAAAAAAAGGTTATATTATTTTTTTTTTTTTTTTAAAAAAACAAAATAATGTTTTTTACTTTTATTTATTTATTATTTACAAATAAAAAGATGAAAAGCTGTATAAGCTTATAATTTATAAAACTGTTTTCTTTTCACCTCTTTCAAAACTATGACCTCTTTCTCTTAAATGGTCCAAAGGAGTCATATAATTATCTTCGACAACATCAAAGTGGCTATATAATTAAAATAGTATATTAGTCTTTGGTCAACATCTAAATAATCTAAAAAAATAAAAATAAAAAAACAATAATAATATAGTTTTAATAAAAATATAATTTAAAAATGGGAGAAGGGTGGTAAATAATTTTTTTTTAAAAAATAACAATTACAAATTATATAAATAAAGATATATACTTTTCTTCATTCATTCTCTTTATATTGTCATAGATTGTTTTAGTACCCCAAATTGAAACTGCGGTAACATTAGCAAAGACAATTACTGATTCTGCTGGTAAAGCTTTAAAGACTTTTCTAATACCTTTTGTTGAAAAAAAAAAAATATTATATTAATTTAAAATAAATTTATTTTTTTATTTGTTTTTTAAACAATTTAAATTATTTTTAAATTATTTTTTATTTCCTCCTTCCCTGACATTTTGCTATATATATCTGAATATGTATTTGATTTAAAAGAAAAGAAAAAAAAAATGAAATGAAATTTTTTTTTTTTATATATTATTTGAAAATAGATTTAATACAACAAAATTTTAAAAAATATAATTAAAAAAAAAATAACAGATTTAAAAAAAAATTGTTTATAGAAATTCTCTTTTTGGTAAACTCTTTGAAAATATAATTCAAAAAAAATAATTTATAAAAATAAAAACAAAATTTTAAAAATTAAAAAAATATAAAAAAAAAAAAAAAAATAAAAATAATTACAAACACATTATAAATGAAAAAAAAAATAATTATTAAAAACAAAAAAAATTTAAAAAAATAATATTATTATTATGGTAATTTTATTTATTTATTATTTTTTTTTTTATTATTGGATTTTACTCTATTTATTTTTTACAATTTTCTATGGATGAAAAAAAAATGATTTTGGTACCTAAAAATTGACTATTGAAATATTTTTTTTTTTTTTTTTTTATTTGAAACTTTATAATTGATAAGATTGTGGATCTTGATTTTTATTTTCAGTATTATTCTCATTGTTGTTATTGTTATTGTTGCTATTATTGTCATTATTGTTATTGTTGGAATCTATATCAATTTTTTCATTTTCATTTATTGAATTATTTTCATTTTTATTGATAACATCATTAGGATCTATTTTTTGATATTTTTCTAAAAAGATGGTTGAGGTTGCAAAATTTGAAGAAGGTGGGTCACTATTGTTATCTTTTATAAAAACATTTTGAATAAACTTTTCAAGTACATGTCTCTTTTTAATAACAATAAAGAGTGAGAGGATTCCCCCACATAGAATCAAACCAACACCAGCGACCCGACACCAAATAAAACTCT